CATTTACTTCATAATGATAAGTTAAAGCAAAAATAGACTTCAACACTGTCTAAGAATGTCTAATAAATGTTGATCAAAGAAGGGTTGCGCCCATCCTTCTTTTATAGAATTTCCCTGTTTATTTCCCATTAATTCTACCTAATTAGCTACTCGCTAGCAAGCTGTTAACTCATCAAAAGTGATGTAACATTATGAAAGGCAATATTAAAGCTGTGAAAAATAAGTGATATGCTTGTGTAAAACTTTGTAGCTGCAAGAAACCCCTACATAGATGTAATTAGTCTCTGACTCAGTAAGTCAGCAACAGAGCTGCAGTGTGAACAAGAAATCAAATAGGTTCCACTTCCTGCACTTGATGCTGTGACTCAAAGGGACAGTTCAACCAAAATACAAAAAAGCCTTTTCCCCCTTGTCCTAACCTTGTCATCCCCTTCTTCTTCTATTTTTCCATCTTTTAAACAACAAAGTTGTTAATAAAATATTTGTATGGATGTACTTTTCTTAACCTAGTCAACTAAACAACATCATGCTTAAACTGTTAAACACCTTCCGACCTACTGGTTTTGGTCAGTATCGGGCCGATACTGATACTGAATCAAAGCATCCGTAGTTAGAATTGGATCTAGTTTCTATCACAGAAGTAGTCGCTGTTGACAGTGAATGCTCTGGATTATCCAGAGTAACAGGGACATTGTTACTGAAAAGAAATGTTGCCGTCGAAATTTTTGAATGTCTGTAGTGGGAAAAATCTCAAAGATGAACCTGAGCAAATCACATCAAAACTATTTGCATGACTATTTACCATTATAGGTGAGAGAGAAATAGTTTCTTTTTGTAGTTTGGCTGAGCAGCCCCTTATATAATCCTAATGTAAACAACCTATCTGAAGGGACATGTGAAATGTTACAGAACTGTTCCTAGAATCAGCAGAGACAGGAAGCAAAATGGAACAATAGTGTTTTTGAAGTCAGGGACTTGGACAGATGGCCAGCCTGAGATTTCTTCTCCACTCAAACTTAAATACTGTATACAACAGTGAGTGCTGAATTACAGGGCTTTGGTAGCTTTCTTTAGTAATTCTCACATATGTTGTTGCTCAAATTAAATGTCTGGGACTGCTCAGCTCACACAAGCTGCTTTACATGTACGTCATCATCTGTGGACATACTAAATATTCCAGTATGCATTCATGTTAAACGTCCTTTGAAGAGTTTTTAACTGGTGAAACAGTCTCAGTTTAATACCGATGCCGCCATATGGCCTACATAAACACACAAGACCACCAGTAAAAAGATTATATATGTATTCTTGTGTATTCTTAATGCCTGGCACCAGGTTGGATTTGGTCGGATTCCCCTTAAAATCAGTGAAAGGATATGGTCAACACAAAGTTCCTTGTTCCTTCTCTTGGTTTATAACTTCCTCATTTAATTTCAAATTATTATGTCCACATTATGATTGGATCTCATTTAGCAAATTATGTAGGCAGAGCTGACAGATTTATTAACACACATGGTGTGCCTCATGGCAGTGGAAGCAATGCAAAATGGTAAATGGGCCTGTACTTGTATAGCGCCTTTCTAGTCTTCCTGACCACTCAAAGCACTTTTACCCTTCTTGCCACATTTGCCCTTTCACACAGTGATGGCAAAGCCCATCGAACAGAAACTAACTCATTCACACACATTCACAATAGCAATTTGGGGTTCAGTATCTTGCTCAAGGACACTTCGACATGTGGCAGGAGGAGCCAGGGATCGAACCAACAACCTTCCGATCAGGGGACGACCCGCTCTTCCTGTGAGCCACAGCCGCCCCTTAATTGGGGTTCAGTGTCTTGCTCAAGGACACTTCGACATCCAGCGAGAGGAGCCGGGGATCAAACCTTCTGATTAGTTGACGACCCGCTCTACCTCTGAGCCACAGCCACCCAACAATGCTGCTGAGGGAAAAGACAATGGTGGTTTTGCAGTTGGTTCTGAGTATAGAGATGGCTGAGCAGAGGTTGGTGTCAGTGTGGACTGAACAGATTGAACACTGCAGTAGAGCTCACGTCTTGCTGTGGATGATGTGGATTCCCAGTCAGCAGGTAATAGCCAGTGGAGAAGTTTGCTAGCACTAGCTCGGCTACCTTCATTGTCTTGCATGTTGCAGCAATCCCTTGACTGTCCCTCTGGGCTCTACAGCCTGATGATGCTATCAGATCACTAGTGATTAGCATGTAGAAGGTGAGTTCATAGTTCAATAGATTAGTTCAATAGATTAGATGTTAAAGTCTCATATTCCCATCATGGTCATGAGACGCTTAAACAAGAGACATGACACCATGTAAAACTAAATAAAAAAGCCTTTAAAGCTAAATATATAATATAAAATAAATTCCATTAATACACGCATTAGAATGGTAATCGTAAACTGGTTTCAGTTGAGAACTGGTTCCAAATTGTCTGATCCACTGAAACAGTATGTCTTCCAGCTTATCAATTCATTTTATTGATGTGAGCATGTTTATCTGACAATTGCACATTGACAATGACGTCAAACTCGCTATGCAAGGAAACTCAAACTACTATAACTGTACTCTTGCTCTACAGTGTTCGGACTCAAATGATAAAATGTTGGATCACTGAACACCCGTGTAGTCCTTTTTCCACACAGAAAACTAATCAGGAATCAGTAAGGAAAGAATGAAAGAATCAGACTGATAAGCAGAATCAATAATGGTATTGGTATCAATAAAATCCTAGCAATTCCCACCCCTATGCAAACTATGCATCAAAATGCAATAATATAAACAAACATATAATTCTCAAGTAATCCTTCATTTATAACCTGTCACCTTGCACGCTGAGATGGCATATGCAGTTACAGAACAGATGAGCATTGCAGAAAAGGAAACAAAGCAGGGATAAAGATACTGTACTTTTCATGCTCAGCAGAGAAAACCTAAGCTCACAAACAAAAGCTGGATGCACTGCTAGTCTCTGTGGATTTTCATTGCAGAATAAACCAACAGGAGCTGAACTCAGGTAGAATCAACAAGCAGTCTGAGCCTTTACCGAAAGGAAAGGACCAGAAAACAAACCTCTGCGACTCCACCTTTCATAAAACAACGTGAACAACGTGACTTCAGGGATTGGAGTGAACTGAGGGTGGAGGCTGAACGCTTGTTTGACAATTACTGCTGTAGAGTCTGTGATACATGAGAGTATATCGGTGTGAATGTTCTGTAAAAGCATATACATATACAGCTAATCATCCCTGGGCCCAGACAAACAGATAGTAAAACCACAACCCCAACTTTACTTCCAGAATAAAATCAAAAGAGCGTTTATAGCTGCAACTCCTCAGAGACTGGGGCTGTGATCTGAGGTGGCACACAGCAACACAAAGCAACACATACACCTACACACACGCACACACACGCGCACACACACACACACACACACACACACACACACAGTAATCTGTTGTTGCAGTTGTCATCCTGGTCTTCAGCAGTGAACATTGGGCCGTGAAGTTTTGTGTCACTGTCTGTGTTCATATCAAAGCCCAATGCATGACACCATTCAATTCAATTCAATTCAATTCAATTCAATTCAATTTTATTTGTATAGCGCCAATTCATAACAGAAGTTATCTCAGGACACTTTTCAAATAGAGCAGGTCTAGACCGAACTCTTTATAACATGAGGAGCTGTCAGCTCTGTTGAAATGTGAACATCCTGTATGGTTTGGAGTTTCATGATATGAAGACAGGATGAAGTGAAAGAACCCTGCCTGTAGAGAGTGGCTCCGGGATGGAAGGATGAGGAATAAAAAGTTAAAGGAGAAGGCTATACTTCTTTAGAAGCCCCAAAGCACACTGACTACTGTGTACCATTATTTCATTCTAAGTTTGCTTCTTTAATATTTTTTTAACTATATTGTGATGAAGGATAATTCAGGTTTATTACAACTCGGGTCTTGTTTTTATAGTTCGGGCCATTATTTCTATTGGTTAAGATAATATGGTACACACCAGAGTTAATTGCTGAGATCTGATAATGCAGACACATCTCTACAAAGAAGTCTAATGGGAAACACACGCATTCTTAGTTTTTAAAACGTTCCAACACTCACACACTCCAAACTCTGATACTGCCACTTGGGCAGTGGCCCTCTGTTTCGGAATATGATGCTGTAAGTATCCCCCTTGCATCATTCCTGGATGCACAGGGCTCCGCGGTCAAATTAGCAAGAATAAATATGCAACTTACATTAAAATAAAGCTGGTTAACATATTGGTTAGGAAAAACTACATTTAAGAAAAGATTTTAAAGTATATAATTTACCTGATGTAACTGTAGTATGTTATGTAAGTTAATTTGTGTACGTTATGCCAAAGAAATTGTTTACTTTTGGACTCACAAGGGACACCAACAGCGGTCTCCTTGGTTAAAATTCTGTGTTTGAGGCATCCATCCACCATCACCTCCATATGCTTACTTTCTTGTTATTTATACTACGTAACCTGACTTAGACAGTGAGCATGTCCAAAAATTATGCTAGAGGTATACCTACAACATCATATTTTGAAGCAGAAGGCCACTGACCAAGCACAAGTATTTGATGAGTTGGTAATGAGACTTTCCACTTCTCTACATAAAGAACATACAACTGAATGTTGGCATTGGGTGTAAATTGTGAGATATGGAATGCTTTAATCTCACATGGTAGAAGTAAATGCAAAGGCATGATCAGATGTAATTATCCAGATAACGTATACAGATACAGATGCTACTACCAGGTGGAAATGATGAGCATATCTGTAGTTACAAATAAGACTTGTTTGGATTGCTGCTGCCCACTCTGTCAGGTTTCTCATTTTAGAGATTAGAGGAGAGGAGGTTATGTGGGAAAATAATTGTGTTAGTACCCACGCAGAGGTCGGAAGATGTTATAACGTAAAACACACTACCCATAACCCCTTTCCACCCAACACACACTTTGCTACTCACGTAATCCGTTGAGTCCTCATCAATCCACTGATGAAAAGGACAGATGGGGGAGAGGATGTCATGGCTCCGCTCCCCTCCTGCTCCCTTTGCTCCTCCCCCTTCCCTGTGTGCCTGAGGGTGCGGCCTCCATTCTCCTCACCTGCTGTCTCACCTGCTCTCAATCATTCATCATGCCTCAGCCTTCAAGAACCCGGTTTTCCTCCCACTCATCGCCAGATTGTTTCAGCCTATGTGGTGGTAACTCTCGTGGCTCCCTTCAGTATTTAGTTAGCGATTCAAGCTCTCTTGTGTTTCCCCTGTGCGTGTCCCCTTGTCTAACCGTTTCTCTCCCGTGCCCCAGGGTCCCTTGTGCTGTTTGGCTTCCTGTGTCCGCCTCCTGTGCCTCTGTGTCTCCGGTCTCTTCCGCCATCTCACCCACCCGTTCCTGCTCTGGCCGCCCCTCATCCCCCCTGTGTGTGTGCGTGTGCGTGGAATAAAACCCCCTTTAAACCTTCCATACTGTCTGGGTGTCTGCTCCTGGGTCCAGTCCCAACACCAGCCTTGTCAGAACAATCTGGCCAGCATGGACCCAGCGGACCCAGACTCCGTCCGAAGCGCACTGGCCTACCAGGGACAACGAGTGGGCCAACACGAGAAGGTCCTCGACGGGATCGTGGCAGCCATCCAAGACCTTCGCTGTAGTGTGGCCGCCCTTGGATCCAAGCTCGATCAAGTCTCCACTCCTCCCACAGCTCCTACCACCGCCACTGAAGCAGCTACTCCCTCTGCCTCCCCTGCCATGCCGCATGCAGCCTCTCCTCCCCCTGCCCCGGGAACCACACGTTCCTACACCTGAACGGTATGCTGGGGATTTGGGGGCTTGTGGGCGGTTTCTGCTTCAGTGCTCACTAGTTTTCCAACAACAGCCGCTTACCTACAGCTCAGATAGCGCCCGAGTGGCTTTTGTGATTAGCTTATTGTCAGGGAAAGCAGCTCAGTGGGCAACCGCCCTGTGGGAGAAGCACTCCCTATTTGTGAAACCTTCCAGCGATTTTCTGACGAATTAAGAAAAGTGTTTGATCATCCAGTGCGAGGCAGAGAGGCAGCTAAACGCTTACTGAATCTTCGTCAGGGCTCTGGTTCAGTAGCTGAGTTCTCAGTCAAGTTTAGAGTTTTAGCGGCAGAGAGTGGTTGGGATGAAGAGGCGTTGCAGACTGTTTTCGTGCATGGGCTGTCGGAGGTTATGAAGGACGAGTTAGCGGCTAGGGATAGCGCTGCTAGCCTTGACGAGCTAATCTCACTAGCGATTAGGCTTGACAATCGTCTTCGCGAGAGACGGCGTGAGAAGTGGGGGCGCTCACAAGCCTCTCCTTTCCATGCCTTGCCCAGAGCCACCATCTCAGTAGATCCCCAGTTAGCAGTCCCATGCAACGCCCTCGAGCCAGGTACCCCCGAGCCCGTAGAAGAGCCTATGCAATTGGGTCGCACCCGCCTCACTCAGGCAGAACGCCAACGCCGGATGAGGTCCGGGTTATGCATTTATTGTGGCCAGCACGGTCACTTCTTGGCTGCCTGCCCCCAGCTTCCAAAGAGAGAAACTGTGAATGGTGTTGCTCCTGTGAGCCAAGTCCCCGCTTCCTCCTCTGCCCCTCTTAGTCGTTTGCAATTAAGAGCGTCCCTTCACTGGCAGGTAAATTCCATTCCCCTCACAGCACTAGTCGACTCAGGTGCCGAGGAGAGTTTCATTGACTCGGCATTCGTGCTTCAGGCAAACATTCCCACTATCAAACTCCCTGACAATCAACCCGTTAATGCCTTAGACGGGAAACATTTAGCGAACATTACTCGGCAAACCGTTCCCCTCACACTTATCCTTTCTGGTAATCACCGTGAGGAGATCAGCTTACTGGTTATTTCATCACCCAACACTCCTGTTGTATTAGGTTACCCCTGGCTAAAACTCCACAATCCCCAATTCGACTGGTCTACTGGCTCACTCATTAGCTGGAGTGCCCACTGTCATTCTCATTGTCTCCAGTCCGCTAGTGTAACACTTCCCACTGTTCCCAAACCTCCCGAGCCCCCTGATCTATCTGCCGTCCCTGTAGAATACCACAACCTAGGGGAGGTTTTTAGTAAACATCGTGCCGTCTCATTACCTCCTCATAGGCCATATGATTGCGCTATAGAGCTGCTCCCTGGTTCCACTCTGCCGTCTAGTCGCCTGTATAACCTTTCCAGACCTGAGCGCGAAGCCATGGAGAAATATATAGGTGACTCACTAGCGGCAGGGCTTATTCGACCCTCTTCGTCTCCGGTAGGGGCAGGTTTCTTTTTGTAACTAAGAAAGACCAGTCCCTCCGCCCTTGCATTGATTATCGAGGGCTTAATGACATCACCATTAAGAATAAGTACCCTCTCCCTCTCATTGACCCGGCATTTGAACCCATTCATAAGGCTACAGTGTTCTCCAAATTAGACCTCCGGAACGCATACCATCTAGTCAGGATCAGAGAGGGAGATGAGTGGAAGACTGCCTTTAACACCCCTTTAGGCCACTTCGAATATTTGGTGATGCCCTTTGGATTGACCAATGCGCCAGCTGTGTTCCAGGCCATGGTCAATGATGTACTGAGAGACATGCTGAACAGGTTCCTGTTCGTCTATTTAGATGACATACTCATCTTTTCGCAGTCCCAGGAGGAACATGTTCAGCATGTCCGGCAGGTACTCCAGAGACTCCTGGAGAACAAGCTTTACGTGAAAGCCGAGAAATGCGAGTTCAATGTGACATCCGTGTCTTTTCTGGGGTTTATTATTGAGCGGGGCAGGTGAAGGCTGACCCAGCCAAGATTCAGGCCGTGGCTGATTGGCCGAGACCCTCCACTCGCAAACAGTTGCAGCGCTTCTTGGGGTTTGCTAACTTTTACCGCCGCTTTATTAGGAATTATAGTAAGGTAGCAGCCCCCTGACTAAGCTCACCTCGGTGAAAGCACCGTTCGCTTGGTCTCCTGAAGCAGAAACAGCCTTTCTAGCCCTGAAGGAACTGTTTACTTCTGCCCCTGTGCTGCGGCATCCTGACCCCTCCCTCCAGTTCGTGGTGGAGGTGGATGCCTCTGACACTGGCATTGGGGCAGTACTCTCCCAGCGATCCCCAAGGACCAGAAGCTGCACCCCTGTGCCTTCCTCTCCAGACGCCTGTCCCCAGCGGAGAGGAACTATGACGTTGGGAACAGAGAGCTGCTGGCGGTGGTGGTAGCCCTTCAGGAGTGGAGGCATTGGTTGGAGGGCGCAGCTCTCCCGTTCATCGTGTGGACGGACCACAAGAACCTGGCGTACCTCCGCTCAGCCAAGAGGCTCAACTCCCGTCAGGCCCGGTGGGCTTTGTTCCTTGACCGTTTTGTTTTCACCCTCACCTACCGACCTGGGTCCCGCAATGCCAAGCCAGATGCCCTATCACGCCAAGCCGACCCCGAGACGCCGGGGACTGAACCAGAGACCATCCTCCCGGCTTCTTGTGTGGTGGCTGCAGTGAACTGGCGGATAGAGGCTCTGGTGAAGCAAGCACAACGCTCGCAACCCGACCCAGGTAACGGCCCCCTAACCGACTCTTTGTTCCAGACTCAACCAGGTCCCAGGTCCTCCAGTGGGCTCACTCTTCCAGGATCTCTTGCCATCCTGGTTACCAACGAACACTGGATTTCCTACGGCGGAAGTTTTGGTGGCCATCCATGGCGAGAGACACGAGAGCCTTTGTAGCCGCCTGTTCTGTCTGTGCCCGCGGGAAATCCTCCCACCAGCTGCCAGCTGGACAATTACACCCCTTGCCCGTTCCAAGTCGCCCCTGGTCCCATATCGCCCTGGACTTTGTTACTGGACTGCCTACCTCTGAAGGTAATGACACCATTCTCACTATTGTTGACCGTTTTTCTAAGTCTGTCCATTTCGTGCCTCTGCCCAAGCTCCCCTCGTCCCTTGAGACTGCCAAACTCCTGGTCACCCATGTGTTCCGCCTACATGGAATCCCTCAAGACCTAGTTTCTGACCGTGGTCCACAATTCGCCTCCCAGGTTTGGCGAGCCTTCTGCCAGGCCTTGGGCGCTTCTGTCAGTCTATCCTCAGGTTACCACCCACAATCCAACGGCCAGACAGAACGGGCTAACCAGCAACTGGAGGCTGCCTTGCGCTGCGTCGCCGCCCGACATCCGGTCTCCTGGTGCACATTTCTTCCGTGGATCGAATATGCTCACAACTCCTCACCTGCGCTGCCACAGGTATGTCCCCATTCATGGCAGCTTATGGTTTTCAACCTCCGTTGTTCCCATCTCAGGAAGGGGAGGTGGCGGTCCCGTCAGTACAGGACCACCTGCGCCGCTGTCGCCGGATTTGGACTGAGGCTCGTGCAGCCCTGCTTCGGACAGCGGCTAGAAACCAACGCCTGGCGGACCGCCACCGACTCCCTGCCCCCGACTACACACCTGGTCAGAAGGTATGGCTGTCTTCTCGAGACCTGCCATTGCAGGTAGAGTCTCGAAAGCTGGCTCCACGATTTATTGGACCTTTTGAAGTGGACAAAATCATCAATCCGGTGGCGGTGAGGTTAAAACTCCCTCCGTCGCTACATGTGCATCCTGTGTTTCACGTATCTCTCCTGAAGCCTGTCTCCTCCAGCCCTCTGTGCCCTCCGGCCGACCCCCTCCGCCCCCGGCTCATCGACGACCACCCAGCCTACACAGTTCGCCAGATCCTGGACGTCCGACGGCGGGGCCGGGGTTTCCAGTACCTGGTGGACTGGGAAGGGTACGGGCCGGAGGAGCGTTCTTGGGTTCCCCGGCACTTCATCCTGGATCCCTCCCTTCTTTCGGACTTCTACCGGTCCCATCCTGACAAGCCCGGTAGGCCGCCAGGAGGCGTCCTTTGAGGGGGGGGTACTGTCATGGCTCCGCTCCCCTCCTGCTCCCTTTGCTCCTCCCCCTTCCCTGTGTGCCTGAGGGTGCGGCCTCCATTCTCCTCACCTGCTGTCTCACCTGCTCTCAATCATTCATCAT